GTATATTNATATATATAGTATTATAATTATATAATTATTATTAGTTATATAGTATATATATATATTANATNTATAATATATATATATATATATATATATTGATTATTTTGATTTTTAGTGTTTCGGGTTTTATTTGTTTAAAAAATAAATAAATAAAAACAAAGCAAAAGCACAGTATGTATTTAAGGCGGAAGTCGGAAAGGCTATGTAGTATTTCTATATTTGGTTAAAAAATAGAATAAAAATTACTAAATACTTTTTGTTAAATAAAATACTGCCACAGTCAGCCAGGTTCACGTCAGCAGCGGTCAGTCACACAGGAGCATTTCCTATGTACAGAGGCATAGAGCCACAGACGCACCCCCCAAAGAGAGAGGAGAGAGAGAGACTGAGTCACCGAGAGAAAGTGGCAAAGACCAGAGGGCAAGGAGGCAGAGACTCCAGAGTTGCCACGGTGCGGATTGCGGAATCGTGCGTGATATTTTTTTTTGACTTTATTTCTAAAATATTTTCTTTTTAATTTCAAGACTGCTTTCAAAAAGTACTATGTATTTATTGTAAATATGTAATAAAATAGTGAATACTCTTTGGTTTTATAATATCAAAAAACAAAAACAAAAACAAAATGCACTCGCTGTTTTTTGTTGTTGTTGTTGGAGAATTTGAGAATTGAGACTCACCATTGGGAGTTGGAACGTAGAAACTGGGGTGGAAGTTGGAACAACCCCGCTGTCCCCACCTGCGAGAGGTATAAATGAGTACTGCCGATTGCCGAATATCGATTAAAATCGGCCACATGCCCTTCCCGACTTCCCCCTATTCCGGTTCTGTGAGAGTTCACTGCCAGTTCAATGAACTCCACATTTTTATATATTCGTAGCTATTTGTAACGTGTATTTATTAGTGCGGTCTGTAGATAACTGGATATCGGGTATGTATTGGATACAGTTGGAGTGTTGGACTTGTGGTCTGTGGAGGCACCGAGTACACATTTATTTATTTAATTTCGTATCGGCAATTTTCATATTTGTTTCGAATTCTCGATTTGTATGACAACTATCGATCCCGAAAACGTTCACGTCACAAATGCGTGCTTACGTCACGGGGGTTGCCAGTCCACAGGTAATATATGAGGCATTAGCCTTGGCTTGAGTGGTTTCTACGAAGTATTGCATCAAGCACGTATCATCATGAGAGAACATTCGGATTCATTTATCGTCTGAAACTGGAATTCGTGAATTGGGATTGGCCCCCACTCAGAGCGATGCCGGTAAATTGCAAATATGTACAAGAAGGTGGCAGTCTTGCTGGAATGGCAGCGCTCGTTTACTCATCGACTGTAATATTTCGATACCTGGATCAAAGTTTAATAAATGTAATGTAGTGAGAAACACCTACTTAACGCACGGAGGTTGCCAAAGGTATTACAGTTTGGAAATGTAAATTTGGTAGTGAATATATTATATCACGAATAGAAGCACACACACACAACCAACGAACAAATGTACATTCAAGGGTAGGTCCGTTACACTAGTAAACTGCGACTACTAACCGAAGTTTGCTTGTCCCCAATTCATGACGATTTTCCATTCAGTCGGTGTCACTGCAATGCAACACCACTTGACGATTTCTTTGGTATCTCACTAACAATGTTTTGTGGGATATTAAAGTTTGTACACACCGGTAGATAGAAATAGCATTCCCATAGTTTAATTATATACTTTAATATGTATGCAAACTTTGCACTTACAGAGATTGGTACTTAGCTACATGGTGGTATGTTAATGATCTGTTTGATTGTATGACATGAAATAATTATACTTTAAATAAATACTCACATATAACGATGCCGCGTCTATTTTGAATCGGGCACCTTTTTGGGTCATTGAAGTGTGTGCACCGCTCTAAGGCAGCCTACATATTTTGTGATAGCTGCGAGCAAACCCGAAGGCTCAAGCCTTTAAAAAGTGTTTGTCCTCGGAGACCATCCCGAACGGAACCATATACATAGCAGTAATTATTACACGTGGATCTTGCTCTTGTGCGAAATATGAAGTGTAGAGTGTGAGTGCCATATGCCAAGGTGGTACGTCGCTGGAACCTTGCTAAATAGTATATGCAGTTGGAGCGTATATGGTACTTCATCTGAAGAGATGGTATATGCCTGTGAAATCAATGGAAGTAATGAATATCATATAAATTACAGTGATCTACATCGGTCTGTTTGGGCTGTGCAAACTGCGCATCGGATGGTGGTCGGGTGTCTAAACACAGTTCAGGCTATCTACTTGCAAAAGCCCATATGATGTGAAATCGGGGTCTACGGCTTTGAATTCCTTGGCCTGATCATTGGGACACACACCCACATCCCCTTGGTATATGAGTTCGTAGTCTGGATCCTGCCCGTGTCTGACAATTATCAACTGATCTTTATTTCTATCGATACCCAATACAAATCTGTTTGAAAAGGGAAGGTGATAAAGTGATGAGTGCGCCGCAATATATACATAGCACACATCAGGGCGCACCAACATCCATCGGTTATCATGTTGGTCCCTTCTCCCACCCCTCTCTCCATTAAAAACCTATTGATAACGTCCGCATGGATGATACACAATCTGTTTCGAAATCAAACAGACTCATCGAAGTCATGTTTCAACAAACGCAACCCATTTTGTTTGGAAATGACACACGGGTAGCTTGAAGTTGAAGCCCTAAATTAGGATAGATGATCTTTGAGAAAGGCACATACTGTCGAAGAGGCCCCCAGAAAGGCCCACCCCTCGGCGATATGGTACGATCCTCATTCCACACCCAGAATTGGGCTCTGTTGGCATCATCAGATAGTGCATACATAGGGAAAGCACGCACTGGTAGTCCTGTTTTAAACTGGCAACGGTAGGGTGGTTCGGCGAAGCCTAGAATTGTACTGAATGCTGTGAGCACCAGCGGACCTGGATCGGAGATTCGGCAAAAATATACCCAAACAATCAATATGCATACCTTAGAGTATACTCGTACTCGATAGTAGACAAATTTAGGGATCGGAGTATGGATGGTTAATTTCTATATTGTGAACACGAACATTTAGACATCGGCTGTTGTTAGTGCAAGATATACCACAAGGACACGGGGTGCTTTAGCCAATATAGCAACCCCTAGATCAATGATCTTGGGCGATCCCACTAACACGCGCACGAGCACAATCCACAACTTAAATTCGCGTAGGCCACTTTCAATTATCAAATTGGCAGAGAAAAAGCTAAAATACACGTATCAGTACATCGAGGTCAAACCACAGCTTGGGAGTCCTATTTCGCTCAAAATGCGCCTGCTTATCGCTATTGGCGTGGCAGGAACAGTTAATGCTTTCACGTCACAGAATAAAGCCACACTCCACATAATCTCGTATATATGATGTGAAACCGCTCGTACCAATAGAATCGTAGACACAAACAACACACCAACATACCTTCTCGCTTAGATCGCTTGAAAGCACCTCCCAGTCTCTGATACTCATCGCAGCTCGAACTTATCACGCCAATTGTTTTCACGCAGCCGTCGGGGTGGGCATAGTTTATGAACATCGCCGCATCCTTACTATGTGCATTAAGCCCTGCACAATGGAGACACATGTACGTGTGAGTAGTTGACAGAGTTCGTGTATAGGTCGATGCCAAATGTCTATACTAGGATGAATTCCGCCGGCATTCGCCAGAAGTTGTGACTAATTGTTGGCCATTTTTATTGAAGGCCGAACTTTACGTTTATTGAGGGTTTGGGCTAGTCGTCACGCTGCACAGCTTCCTGATTCTATGCACACGGCTCCTCTAAGAGTGAAGTCGAATAGACAGAGTCCGTAGTTATGCTACACGGAGTTTATATATCTGCAGTTGCCGACATCAATAGGTACAACTGCAACGTACTATACCCTGCACGCTACCCACTGACCACGCAGGATTGCATATAATGAAGTAGAATATCAAGATATAATGAGTGCTCACTATTATCACCTTCAAGTGCAGCTTATTCCGCGAACAAATATCATGCGATGACAAGCTTACGTAACATCAGCGGGAATTCAGTTAGAAAGATGATTTAATATGGTATTATTTATATAAATTTAATACAGAGTCGAGCATGCCCCTATTCGCAATGAAGGACAGGGAATCATACCACAAAAGGCAAAAGCCATAGAATAGAAATCTACAACGCAGCCAACTAGAAGTATATCCTATCATTTGTGAAGGATATCTCGTGATCACATAACAGCTATTTATACTTGCGCAAACAGGTATAAGCAGTGTACACTACACACACAAACACATTCACTCTCTCTCTCACAGAGACACACTCAGAGACACACGCATATATATATATATATATAAATAAATATAACTATAAATATATATACATCTATAGAAAGATATACATAGTACACACGCTTATATATATACATACATGCATGCATACAAACATACAAACAAATATACAAACATACATACATACATATATATTTATTTGTATATTTATATATATAAACATATATACATACATATGTATATGTATAGGTATATATATATATTAATCAATATTATACATATACATATACATTTATTACAGATATGTTATATATATGAAAACGTTGTATCTATGTTTGCATATATAAAATAATATTATATATATACACATACAAACATACGTAGATACAAATATACACAAACATATGCATACACACACATATATATATATATACACACTGTATGCATGAATATGCATTTGCATCTATATATATATACACACACACACACACACATATATATATATATATATTAATACATATACATTCGCATATTTATCAACGTGAATGTGTGTATATATAGTATAGGTTTATATACTTACAGACACAATCACACACACACACATACATAAATAGAAAAAGTAGGTTTATATTTAGAGGTAAAAGAATATATATATACATAACTATATAGATATAGATATAGATAAAGATATAGATATAGATATAGATATATATATAAACACATATATACGTTATTGAATGAATATACACCTACACACAGACACAGGCACAGACACAGACACGGACATACACACACACACATATATATATACATACATAATATATATATATATATACATATATATTTATATATATAAGTATATATATAAATATACATATATATATATATACATATATATATA